GCCAATTCTCATGTGCATAATAACCTAACTGAAACTATATCTGTAATATGTTGAATAAATGTTTTAATCAAGAACCTCTACTAAAAGCTTAATCAAAAGATATAAATGGATAAAAGACAATAATGAATAACCTGGTTATTCAAATAGCATCCTCCCAACAGCTCCTCAAAGTAACTTACACTTAGACTGTGCTTTAGTTTCACTTTCACAAACACGCCCAAAAGCCTGCAGTTTCCTGTCTACTTTGCACAGAGTGTACTCAGAGTTGGGCCCTTCTTTTATAACCCAACAGAATATGGAATATTAATTATTAATGCAAGGGTAATGATAATGATTATGAACAATAGCAGCAAAATATTTCTATAATCCCCACAGGAGATTCCCATGATGCGCTGTTTCTTCTTCAGTCACATTTCTCTCTCACAATTTGTTAATAGACCTCTCTCCAGGGAATCATACTTGTTATTATTTCTGTGGCTCTCTTCCACCACATGTCTTTTGTCCTGTCTTCCTTCTTTTACACCAGCTGGTCACGGTAGACGGCCGCCCCTCCCTGAGCCTGGTTCTGCTGGAGATTTCTAGCTGTTAAAAGGGAGTTTTTCCTTCTTGCTGGCATCAAAGTACTTGCTCATAGGGGGGCATACCACTGTTTTTCTGTTTATGTATTATTTTAGGGTCTACCTTACAATATAAAGTGTCTTGAGCTGACTGTTGTTGTGATTTGGCACTTAATAAATACGATTGAATAAACTGAATTATGAAACACTGAATCATTCCAAGCACTTTTTCTAATTAACTTACAGCCTTCATTCTTTATACAGATTGGGGAGTTGTGGTTTGTCAAATATCAGCTGTGATTATCTGGCAGCAGCACTGAAGTCCAACCCCTCCCATCTGAGACAGCTGGACCTGAGTAACAACAGCCTGCAAGATTCAGGAGTGGAAAAGCTTTGTGGTTTTCTGGAGAGTCCAGGATGTGGACTTGAAACTCTGAGGTCAGTCACCATGTTTTAGTTGTGCTGAGATGAATATGATGTGAAAGTTGTGCTGACACTGAACTGCAGACATAAGGCTGATATTATACTGATTTACACTGAGGATCTTCATGGTAAAGACTTCTCTGGTTTAGTCCATTTACTGTAGCAGAAAAATGTTCACATTACAACCCTTAAAAGAAGAAGAAAAATCCTCCACTGGATAATTAGCTGTAAAACTCTACTACTCTCTCCATCTTTGGTGGAATGGCACTGACACTGAAATAAAAACCAAAATGGCCATTTGCTTTACAAACAGCCATCCAACATAAAACATACACACATCATATAAAACACAGTCCAACATCCAAATCTCCGACACTGCCAGCCTGAATCATGGGAAAAGGAAAGGAGTAACAATCTGATATTCAGGGTTAGAATGAGTTTCATAAACCAAACTGTGAAGATCAAAGCTGCATTCGATTGCTTACATGAATGAATGAGTGGACAAAAGTGGACAGAGATCATTTTCCCAACCTACAACCTTCTTGTTTCTTTCTTTAAAATTCTTAAGTGTTATGGTCCGGTGACCCAGTGTTTTTGTTTTTTGTACTTTTACTTTAGATTTCATCATGGATTGTGACTATTGTGTTTTGGTTTCTTTCCTAGTGTTACTAGCTCCCTAGTTTTGTGGTACTTCCTGAGTTCAGATTTTTAGGTTTTGTTATTTGGTTTCCCAGTGTAAATTCTGTGCTCCCTCTGTTCTGTTTCTTCCTTGCCTGTGTATCCTTTCTAAAGTAGTCAGGTCTCTGTGTAAAGCCCACGTCTCTGAGTCTGCGTCTTCACATGTGTTTTGAGTTTCCTGTTTTATTGTGAAAGTCTGTGTCTTATGCCAAGATGTTCAATTTGCGTTTCCTCTGTCTCGTCTTGTCAATCAAAATCAGCTCTGCCTCCCTCCTGTGTGTCGTTTCCTCGTTCCCATCAGTGTATAGTGTGTGTTCTCTCATGTTTGTCACTAGTCCGTCTGTTTCTTTCCTGCGCTTTCTCCCAGAGTCTTCCGTTCAGGTTAGTTTTATTAGTCATTCCGAGTTTAGGTCACCTTTAGGTTTTGTTTTACTTGCTATGTTTCTGTTTGTGCCACCAGAGTGTAAATAAAGCTCGCTCACATCCAAGCCAGCCTCTGGTTCTCCTCTCACACTCACCACACGTCTGCCACCTGCCATCTTTTGTCCTTGTTCTGCATCCCCATCATGGACTTCACTCCTTTCCAAGCCAGCCTCGAGTGTCCTTTAATCAGCTCATCCTCTGCTTACTTTATCTCTCTTTGAACAAGTTTATATGTCTCAGTCTTTTTCTTATCTTCCTCATAACAAGAAAGCTTCTTCTGACTGAGAACATGTTTGAGTGCTTTACTAGTCACTGGGGAAAATTGTTCCTGTTTTCAAAGTAATCCTCATTTTTCCCGTGTGCTCAGTTTGAGCTCTCTTCAGTACGGTGTTCTGATAGATCCAGAGGGACCATCACATTTAAAAGCTCCACTAATGGAGCCACAACACATCCAATACTTAGTTTGTCATGTTGAACAAACTGGAAGAAATGATTCAAGGACTTAGTCACAGAACAGAGATTTAGATCTCCAAAATCAAACTGGCTGCATCAGGGCATGTAGTTAGTCTGAAAATTCTGCAGAGTTTCCTGTTTGAACCGACTTCATGTTGTCCTTCGGCTCTTTGGAGTTTCCATTTCCTAAACTTCTACATTCTGAACCTTCTCAGCTCTGAACAGATTATAAAACACTGAACGATTCCAAGCACACACTTGTCTAATAAATGTATATCTTTAATTCTTTATACAGATTGTGGCGCTGTGGTTTGTCAGAGATCAGCTGTGATTATCTGGCAGCAGCACTGAAGTCCAACCCCTCCTATCTGAGAGAGCTGGACCTGAGTAACAACAAGCTGCAGGATTCAGGAGTGAAGCAGCTGTGTGGTTTTCTGGAGAGTCTAGGATGTGGACTTGGAACTCTGAGGTCAGTCACCATGTTCTAGTTGTTCTGAGATGAATATGACGTAAAGGTTTTGCTGACTGCAGACATAAGGCTGATGTTATATTGATTCACAATGAGGATCTTCTGTTCTGCTGTCCTATTAGTCCTTTATTTATCCAGGTAAAAAAAATCTCATTGAGATTAAAAATCTCATTTCCAAGAGAGACCTGCCATCATGGCAACATCTACTTCTTTGGGTTAGTCCATAGACTGTAGCAGAAAAATGTTCACATTCCAAGCAGTGATACTCAATGTATGGCCCACGGCCCTCCACAAGGTCCCAACTGGGCTACCGAGCTTTCCTAATTCAGATTAACTGGGTACTGTTCTTCCTCACAGTTCTAAGTATCAGACACAACAATGAATATTCCGCAGTTTACTTTCTTAAGCACGTCAAAAGTCACGGCACACAACAATTTAGAATAGAATAAATAATAGAATAAAATTAGGTATTGCACCGTGGTGGTGGTGTTGTGTAGTCTGTTAATGGAGTGCATGTGAGAGTTCAGAGTGGTTGTGGCTTTTGGGAAGAAACTATTTTTGAGTCTGTCTATGTGCTCATGCATCTGTAGCCAGGTTGAACAGGTCAGAACCAAGTTGGGAGCTATCCTAGATTATGTTTGTAGCTCTGCTGAGGAAGTGGGAGGAATAGATGTCCAACAGGGAGGAGAGAGGACAGCCAATGATCTTCTGTGGTGTCTTGACTACTCTGTAAAGCCTCTCCCTGTCTGCCATGATACGCTTCCTGAGGACCCTCGGCCAACTTTACAACTTTTAAAAGCAAAGCCATGTGATTCCTTGAATAAAAAACACTACTTTTTTAAGTCTTGTTCGTGTTTTTATGATAAATGCACAACTTTAATGTGAAAAATTATGAGTTTTTTCTCATGATGTGGTTATTTGAAGCTGCTTCCTGTTGGCTTCAGCTGTTTGCAATTTCCATTTTCTAAGCTTCTACATTCTGAACCTTCTTCAGCTTTGAACAGATTATGAAACACTGAATCATTCCAAGAACACACCTTATCTAATAAGCGTACATCTTTCATTCTTTATACAGATTGAAGGACTGTGGTTTGTCAGAGATCAGCTGTGATTATCTGGTAGCAGTGCTGAAGTCCAACCCTTCCCATCTGAGAGAGCTGGACATGAGTGGAAACTACAACCTGCAGGAACCAGATGTGAAGCAGCTGTGTGAGCTTAAGGAGAGTCCAGACTGCAGACTGGAGGTGCTGTGGTCAGTAGAGTGTTGGAGTGAGTGGGTGGTGCTGTCAGCAGTATTGTACTAAACACAGTCAGCATGAAACAAAGATCCAGTGTTTCCTGTAAAGCTGCAGCTTCTCAGTGAAGCTGTGAGAGGAGAATGGTGACAAGCTTCAGGATTGGACACAAACACTTCCTGTTTCTGCCTGACCTTCCTACCTCTATGGTCACTTTATAGTAACGGCTCACATGCTCTGATCAAACACTGTCAACAGCCAATCAGCTCTCTGAAAAAAAGCAGCATGCAGACCAATGACTGCATTCATTTCTAAGTTTGAAGCAGTGAAGAACACAATCTGTAGGTGAGGAAGAATTTAGTTAGACCAGATTTTTGGACGGAATTCCTTCAGTAAACAGCAGGAACCATTACATATTGATTGTTGGGGTTGTTTGGGGGTTTCCTAAATAGCTCAGAGTGGACAGACCGAGGTTATTCTAATGAATGAAAGTCCAAACTAAGACTAGGAGTGAAAAACATTTTCATGAACTTAAACACTTGTTTATATCCTCTGCTCTTCCTTCTTTCTCTCTGCAGGTGGAGGTCATGGTAAACAGGATGGTGTGTGTGCTGAGAGAGGATGAGCTGTGTCCTGGTGATCCAGAGAAGTTGAAGCAGCAGCGTAGAGACGCTTGTGTGTAGAGACGCTCTGACTGGGCCATGTTACTGTGAGGTGGAGAGGAGAGGAAAGCTTCATCCAGCAGTGACTAACAGAGGAATGTAAAGAAGTGCAGATGATTGTCAGTGCTGCAGACTGATGTGTGTATCTTTTTTGTGGTGAATTTCCGCAAAGTGGTTGGCTCGCCGTCTATCACGACCACAATCTCATCCAAAATTTTCTGAAATATTTTGACCCTTACAAGCTTCAGCAACGAAGCAGAAATCACCTAATGCAACGCACGTATGTAAGTCCTGGACCAAATTCCATGCGGCATGTTGACTCCTATGACAAACTGAAGCCTTTTGGAATTTGTATAAATGGAGCCATTGATGGCTTTTTGAGAGGTATGATTTGGCTTCATGCCTATTCAACAAACAGTGATGCCAAAATCAACACACATGCACACACACAATGACTGATTAAAAGAATATAAACATGGTTACATAACCCAATGCCATTCAGACACGTAAACAATATAAGCTGCTTGTCCAAAAAACATCCAGAAAAGCAGTCATTGTCTTTTAGTTCCTGGAGACGATTTTTCCAGTGCTGAGCATGATG